CAGTGTCTCTACCTGCTTTCCAGGCCAGCTTGATACATGCTGTTGTTGCTGCTGCTGCTGCTGCTGTTGTTGCTGCTGCTGCTGCTGCTGCTGCTGTTGCTGCTGCTGCTGTTGCTGCTGCTGCTTCTGGTTGCTGGTCTCGTCGCTCATGCATGCTATGTCAATCAAGTAAGAACACACAAATTCACCTTGAAAAAGATATGCATTTTCCTAATGAAAGGATGATGGTCTTTGCTAAAGCTACAAAGGAGTTTGGAATCTTGTGAAAGGGAGAAGCACGCAAAACCTTTATTTTGTGTTGCGCTTTATATCATCACCTTTCTAAGATCCACAGAAACCTGAGCTCTGACCTTCCTGGGTTTTCAGGCAAAATCAAGTGGCGGCTCAAGGACCGTAAATAAAAAGATTAAGACATAGGATGTAAAGATGGAATGATTCTCTGGTACTTGTACAGTTCAGTTTTCTCTAGATCTAAAGGCAGCAGTTGTCTCGAGTTTGGTTAAAATTCAGAACTATGATTTAAAATTACTTTTTCCTTGTTCATCTTGGAATTACAGCCATACAGTACTTTCAGTTCACTTGTCTGTCAGAAAATAGCTATTTGCTCCCTGGCCACACGACAGCATCTGCCACTCCCACCTCTGCCCATTGCGAGTTCCGTAATGTGTAATGTTATTGAACTGATACCAAAAGGCAGAAGGGTTAGCACCATGTGAACAATGAGAACATAATCTAGCAACCCTTACACTTCCAAAAAATTAATCTGTGTTTTCATTTTTTTTTCTATCGGGTTCAGTAGATAAGTGATCAAAACTACTAGCTAGCCCAAGCGCCCTCAACCATCTAGGAATTAACACCAAATAGGAAATTGGAATAGAAAATCCTTTGTAAATGAACACCGTTTGAAGGCTTCAAAGATGGAATTTTCAAAGGAGCCCAAGGGGGTTGGTTACACACAGCTCCCTTAAGTCTCTTTCAAAACTCCTAGCCGACATGACTAATGGTGTGTGTTCATTTAATACAAATACTTTTTCAGAGCAAGTGGTTGAAAGCCAGTTTCTCCTTTGCTTACTTGGCACTCAAAAACTCAGGATTCAGCATTTCTGCTGCAACAACTGAGGATACTCAGAGATTTTAAGGCCAGAAGGAATCATTTTATCTGACCTGCCACATAACAGAGGCCAAATACCAGCACTGCTCAAAACACGTCACGCAGCGCATGAAAATCCAGGCTTTAAATGCGTGTCCTGTAAACTGCTGCAAGGGAAAAATGCTGAGGGCTCTGAGCCAAAGCTCATGGAAATCTATGGGAGGCTTTCCATTGACTTTCAATGAGCTTTGGATCAGGCTCCAAATCCTGAACTTAATACTTGCAACATTTTCAAAGTCACACGCATTCTATAACTGATTGAGACTCATGGACACCAAAGTTTCATAGTTCAGGATGCAGCGTATGAAGAATTCTTCTGTCCTCAGAAGATGAAAGGCAAAGCAGTTGGGCTCTTCATACTTTAACGTGAGGAATTACACTCCCTCCTTGAAGGGCATTCCTTTATGAGGTAAGGCCATACCAGAGGTCCACATACCCCAGTTTGTTGAGTGGAAGCTTTTCACGAAGAATCTATTTCTGAAAGATCTTTTTTTGTGATAGGTGTGAACACCTAAACAGTCATGGGTGTATTTTACATTTTAAGGAAGTCAAAGGCAACACGTGTTGCACAATTCTGAGAACACAGTGTTATCAAAAATGGTTTAAAAACAGTTCACCTACTTTTATTGATGCCTTGTTTACAGGTATTACAGTTGATACTTTGGCTCTGCCCGTGTGTCTTTAAGTGGCTGGTGATATACGCTGCACTCAGAAGTTTACCACAGATATTACACGATACCTTTCCTTCATGGCGCACCATGTGTGTCCGCAGTCTGTCTTTGGTAGCAAAGGCAGCAGTGCATGTCTACATGAAGGACAACAGCAATTTTTAAACGCAGACCATACTGTTGTAGCAGGGGCCACGTGCCAATTTTAAGCCCATTTTCTAGGTGCTACTGTACCCTGACACACTGACAAACTTTTTCATTTCACATAGACACAGTGAAACCTCTCTCAAACTACCATTCACGTGACTGAAACTTAATCTGACTGCTTTATGAAACTAGTCTGCTGATAAGAGTAAGAAAGAACAGTACTCCACGCTTTTGGGGCTACTTTGAAGCAGTTTCATAAAGCAGATGATTACCTCATATGCTAAAATGAGAAGTGACTTATACATAAATACACTGAACAGGTAAGGGGGAGGAAAGAGGTCTCGCATAAAGGTTTCACTGTATCTTTTTGATTTTTTTATTGCTCAATTAATTTAGTTCCCATCTACATTTGGAAAGGGAAAAAACAAAGCATTTTTCAAGGCCACTCTTTATTCAGCACGATGAGTCACTAAAAACAGGTTAGGACGAGTAAGGATGATTCCAAACAAAACAGCAGAACAGTTAATTGTTCAAGACTAGTCAAGTTACTCCTCTCGCTTTTAGTCCTCAACTTATTTTCACTGTGACAAGTTGCTTTCCACTCCAGGCAAAACAGCAAATCTAGAACCAACTACATTTATTCAATTTTTTAAACTCTGCTTTGCTTTCTAAGCTAAAGGATACGATATTAACAATCTATCTTCACAATTACATTTATCTATTAATACTGCTAAATAAGTCCCATGTATTGCTACAGCAATCAGTGTCTATTTGAGGATTTAATCGAGCTGTTTTTAAAAAGCAAACCTGACCTGAGCAGTAGGGTTTAGACAGTGCTACTGTCAAGAAGCAAAAAGGCTCAATTTTACAAAAGGAGAGACAAAGCATCTTCCTAAGTTACTGCTAAACTTGGATCTCAGCTACAAGCAGGATGGATGGGGCTTTATTTCTAAACTTGCATTCAGAGCAGCTACATCAACTAACATAGACCTGGGCAAAATATTCAGATGCTGTCTAAGGACACAATAAATTGTTTTAACTCTTACTTGGCATTTGAAGGGTCTTTCTGTTGAGTGAACGTGTTTGACATGACAGCTTAAGTGATCAGGCCTGTGAAAGAAGAGAGGTAGAAAACAGAATACGCATACTGTTACAAACAGATAGTAATGACACTTAAGCTGGCAGCATTGAACACTGCATTGATTGCCCTTTTTCAGCCAACCTCCCCCCTCAAGGACGAGGTAAAAAAATAAAATAAAATACAATAAAATACACTCCCCTTACCTATAAAGTAGCCCTCTGCTAGAACAATATAGTCTCATTGGGACCCAACCTGAAAAGTTTAAAACTCAGCCACATTTTTATCATAAGCCCAAAAGCACTGTACTTACTGATTGTTTAGTACTGGTATACAAAAGTGCTGGATTATCAGCCCTAGAGCTTGGAGCTCTCTCTATCCCACAAGCAGATACAGCACATCCAGCAACAGTGCAAGCTTCCCCACGCTGCTCCATCAATGAACCCCAACCCTGCTCTAGGCGAAGCTAAGTTAAAGGCAAGAAGACAGGTCAGTCTTCATGCCTCATTTGGCCCTTGACCTCTTCAAAGGTCATTAATAAAGGCTCTCACTAGCACCATTTGTGATGGAGACATCTGTCCAGCATGACCTGGATTGAGGTCACCAGGTAATTTCAGAGCAAACAAGTCATAAAATCATGACAGCTTTCAAGATGCAACCGAAGTGGCTTAGACTGAGACCCGTGCCCCAGATGCAAACACAAGGTTCTTTATTCCCTCACCAATCTTCTAAGATGTCTGTCTCTCCTAGCCCCTCGCTATGATAGCTTAACCCTTCTCGATTATGAAAAGCCAATACTTGAGCTCGCCTGGGATTTTCTACATGGTACCTCGAGAAGCCTTTTCCACAAACACCACAGGTGTATGGTTTGGTGATGCCACCTTCATGAGACCTCACGTGATAGGTCATGCGATCCTTCCTCTTGAAGCGCTGATTGCAAATGGGACATTCAAAGGGTTTCTCATCCGAGTGGGACAGCTTGTGCCGGTTGAGGTGGTACACATCCCTGAAGGCCTTTCCGCACATCTCACAAGCATGGTTCTTCTTGACGGGTTTGCTAGGCTTCTTCACTGTCTGAGTCACTGCCATGGCAGTTGCACCGGCACTACTGCTGGGGTTGGTGGCAGAGGAAGACGTAGTGACTGTTGACAAAATGCCCGCAATAGTCGAAACCAATGAAGTTCGGCTGTTGTCACCAGCGATGGTCGAGATAAGGGGCACCATTGTGGTGGGAGTTTTCTTTGGCCGTGACACTAACTTTATCCCTGTGTGGCAGGACTCATGGCGCCTCAAATGGTAGCTGTCCCTGAAAGCTTTGCTGCAGTAAGTACACACAAAGGAGGTTTTAGGTTTTTCCTTTTTAATCCCAACAATAGCATCCTTTAATGTTTCTGGTGCAGGTTGAGGTTTTTGAGTTATTGGTAAGGGCAGAATCGGCTTCTGATCAGGTGGCTCAACAGCAGAGCTCAGGAGAGGCAACAAACTGTTCTGTGCTGCCTGCTGTTGGTGATGTGAGGCTTCATGTGCCTAAAACCAAACATTCACACTTAAAAATTTTTATTAACGAGCATTTGCTTTGATTCGATGAAAACATTTACCAAATCTTAGTCCACAGTCATTCAACTAGCAAGGGTATGAGGTTATAATTCCACAAACAATTTCCTGATAGGATAAACCATTGGCCCTTTAAAATACATGCGCTGTAAAGATTCTGTAGTGAGCAAGTGTAGGAAGGCATACATCACAGCAAATAATTTTTAAAATTTCCTGAGGGCAACATTTCTCATAGAAAATGCTGGTGTTTTTGTCAGGCTTTTTATTAGCATATTGCTTGAATTCTAAGTAAATGACACTTGTTATTTTTGTGATCATAATGGCTGTGATATTAGCTCTGTACCGGGAAATTTTGTATATATGCTGGGGGTGGAGGGCGGTGCTGACAAGATAGTCTGACCCCAGGTTTCGAACCATTAACACTAACCTTGCATGTGGTTACATTTAAAAACCCTTTCGAAAGCTAAACTGCAGCCATAGTGAGCCAGGAAGAGATGAGACATCTTACTTAAATAAATGTGTTTGCACTAGTTTGTCAGTACTGGAACCACCCTTATGTAACTTGTATCAAGAGCTCTTCCACTCTAGATTCAGACTGGTATGTTCAATGGGCTCTCTCACTGCACAACTAAGGTCCTCTTTGCTTTGGGGAACTAATGAAAATAAAAACATGTCCTGTCTTCAGAAGCAACTCTTTTGTCAGCGAGGAAAAGGGTTAATCAGTCACTAAGAACTGGAATCTGGCAATCTGAGGCAACAACTGCAGGTTTCTCTTTTTTAAAACAGAACTGATAAATGGTGGATGACCCTAAACTGCAGCATCAGTGTAAGCAGAGTGCTAGAGATTTCTCTAATGCTCCCACAGGCATTACTCTATCCACCTGCAACTTCTGCTACCAAGACTGTTCCACCTTGTATTGGTATTGAATACTACCATTTGTTCCAAAAAGTATAAATTTACACTGGTATAACCAAACCAATTTGAAACCAGTTTAGATGGACACATTTGCACTACTTGAGGCTATGCTTAAAACAGCTTAGCTTAGTATCACATTAAACTAAGTTGGTTTAAGGGGGATTTAAACATGCTGGTATTAGAGCTCTGCACCAACATACTGGACCAATTTTAAAATCAGTTCAGCCACCTTGGTGCGACCAAGGAAGCCTGTGGCATGAAGGGGAGTGTATGGAAACCTATACTTCAGTTAGTGTCACATCTCTCCAAAATTCTTTTTCTGTGTTTTCCTTTAGCAAATGACATGTAATTCATTTAACAGTCTTCCCACATTCGGGACTCTGCAGGCTTCCTCTGTACTGATTTGGAGTCTACAAGAGTCTGCCAGCTCTTACTTTTTAATCAGGATCCACAGTATTCTGCATATTCAAATTAAAATTCTTCCCATTTCACCCAATAGTCAAGCGCTTAAAACTCTTTTGAGACTTCAATCTTTACAGAAGCACACTTTGTGACTTCCTTTTTCGGTGGCATCCAAGCCCCAGTTCTTTTGCTTCTACAGCACACAAACAACCAAAGACAGTGACTACACCACTCAGCATCTGCAAGAAAGGGTTTTTAGGACTTCAGTGCAAGTCTTCCTTCCCTCTGGATGCTTGTATGCTGGCTACAGCATCCCCTGTTCAAGCCCTGCACCTGCCTGGCCAGTGGTCTCTTGCAGGGGTGCAGGCTATTCTTTGGGCACAGGTGAATGATATACTCTTCTAAGCCCTTTGATGGGAGAATGGGTCAGGCTCTTTCCTCTGACATTACTTGTAGCTTACTAGTAACAGATAGGGTGCTTTGTTCACTTCCCTGTGCTTCAGGTCTATTCCAAAACTTTGGAGTTAATAGCCAGGTTGAATGCTGCCCTGTTAAGTGTGGCTATATTAAGGAGAAGCCCTTCAGGTGTATTCTTAAGAACCAGAGGGAGGGTGCTTTGGCAGGTGATACAAACACGGAGCCCGGGTGCTCTAACTTAGCAGACGGGACAGGCTCATCTTTTCCAGACAGTTTTTACCTATGTGACCTCCCAGTATTTTCCTTCCTGGACTTCCAAGTTTTATGAAGTTGGTCCTGGTTTGTAAGAACACCGAGATGCTGCACTGGATACAACGTAAGGTAAGAACACAAGCTCCAGCAAGTTTCACATACTGAATAAACAGTAAATTTTTATTATTTTTTTCCAGCTGCCTTGGCCCAAGGAAAAAAAAAAAAAGAGCCACACACTTGTTCAGGAGCACCAGCAGAAACTTAATTAAGAGCTTTGTATTCAAAGCCTTACCCTTTTCCAGCTACGCCAGAGTGAATGCGTCTTCATACAGGAGTACAAATGGTTAACATCCTAAGATAGCTCAAGATATACAATTTCAAAGGCAGACAGAGCAGATCGGATAATAGGGAGTCCAAATCCTTTGGACAAGGTTCAAACTTATGCAGTTTATGGACATATTTAAGCCTTAAAGATCCATTAGCACACCAAGATAATAATACACTTATTCCTATCAAACTGATATAGATGTCTCACATGAAACAACAGATTCATGAGGCTTTGTGTTATGAAGCCACTGCTTATAGAAGGCTGCTTATCTTCATTCCCAGATACTCCAGTGTTATTACCCATACCCTCTTTTTAACAAAACCTTTCAGCAACAAGCGATGTGTTTCAGTTTCCAAGGATTCCCTGCACTAGAGCCTTTCAAAGAAGGATCAGGCTGTCTTTTTCTAGCCTTGCCATTAGAGTGAAACAGCACCTGCTGCCTGCCTTTTGCAAGTCATTTTCCTCCAGTTGTAGGGCACTGTTTGACTTGACCTAGCCTTAATGTCAAGTCAACATTTTTGCGATGTTTTGAACACTTGGAAAAAGGCTTCCAGGAAAAGTATCAGAGTAAAACTTTCTTTCCATGGGGATAGCAACCAAAATACAAACAGTATTTTCAGGACCCACACTGGTAGGAAGCCGCATTGTGAACTTCCAGCGCCAGAGGCTAAGAGATTTTTTGCCTTAATGTCAGAGCAACAAATTAGCATGAGTCATATTTGAATGCTCTGTCTGATGGATGATTTCTCTTTGCACTATGATACAACTTTCACTTTCCAGGCAGGTACTAAAAGCAGTTTTCAAAATATACATGGATACTAAGAAAAGAAAAGGAAGGAAGGAAAAAAAATGAACAAGAACTGCTCACTGTAGAATCCATTTTACTTTAAAAAAAAAAAAAAATACGCATCAAGGTGATAACTACACATGGTAGAATACCTTTGTTTGGAAAGGGTAACAGTCCTGATGCTCATGTAATGGCCATTCAGACTAAAATTAAATAACTGAATTAGCTTCCACAAAGAACAAGTGGCTGAAAATGAGTTACCCACAGAGTATTAAATATTCTCTTTCAAGAAAAAATATCCTCCATAGATATTGCAGTTGAAGGCCAGAGAGAAAATAGGCAACATCTACCCAGCCAACTGTATCTGGCTATTTCACAGTTACATAAGAGAGACAGATGAGGCCTTGTAAAATGACTATTAGATTACTAGTGTTCCAGAGATCTAATATTTTTTGCAGGGGAAAGGTGGACTAGAATAAGCACTTTTCTCTCCAATTGCTTTGCAAGCTAACATACAGTAGGAGAGCAGTATTCAACATCATTTGTTTTCTCAAAATGACTCAAGAGGCCTGCTAAGTATTCATAATGAGGTTTTAGAGCTTTATTATTTGGAACGATTGGACAAAGAGGGAATTTCCACATCACATCTTTACAACGATCCTGCCTAGTTGCACACAATTCATTAAATTTAAGGCGGCAAATTGTTAGCTCGTTAATTAAAAGCAACAATACCTACAACCAGACTAAAACCAAAGCGGAAGACATCAGTATTTCAAAGTCCAGTACACTTGGGGGGCGGGGGGAAAGGAAAAAAAAAAAAGCAAGCAACTGACTTAACAAAACGCTTAAAAGTATCACTGGCTAACTATTTGTGAGAAGGAAAAGCATCAAATAAATGTTAAGATCCTAATTTAAGAATAAGCCCTCAGAAATATTTTTCAGGGGAGCGCAGGAGATAGAATAACCCTGCAAACTCAAAGGGAGATGGTTCTGGAGTAAGGAGATTAACTTCTTAGTGTAAAGTTTCCCCATGTTCAAATCACAACTGCCCACTGGAGCAAGAAATAATTTCTAAAACCTCTGCCAAGCTCCGGGGCTCATCGCAGACACAAATTACAGCCTGGTGCAGTTTGGTGCGCTTCCCTACGGGGCCAAGCGGCAAGGGCAGAGTAAGTTTGCACCTAGGCTGGGGCTGGGCAGCGCTCGCCACTGAGGGAACATTCTGAGCATGTTTTCGAAGGCAGGACACTCGAGCAAGTGACTCATCTCTTCGTACTTGCAAGAGAATCATTTTTCCTTTAGAAAAGGAACGCTGCGAGCTCCCTGCAGACGCGCTCATTCAATTCAGGTTCTCTGACAAATGTCACGTTTCTTTTTTGAAAAGAAAAAAAAAAAAAGAATCAAAACAGCAGCAAGGAAGCCTCCCGGGTGGGTAATTTGCAAAGAGGATCATTTTACCTCGCGGAAGGTGTGTGGCAATTTTTTAAGGGGGGGGGGGGCTGCTGCTGCTGCTGCTGTTACATTACATTACATATGTCGCATTTGGGAAGGTGTAAAAGAGAAAAGAAAAGAGAGCAAACAGGGAAGAGCTGCCCCGAGGGGGAGGGGGTGCCCGTGGCATTTTCTTTGCCCTCAGTTTTTAACTTTCACACTGTCGCAGAGCTGGGGGGAGGGGGGGGCAGGCAAAAAAATAAAAGAAAAAAAGCGAGCCCCCGGAGCCATCCTCCCTGGCCCAAACACCCCCACCTCCAACCCCATTTTAAATGAAAACAAGCTCCCGTCACCCGGCCGCCAGCCCGCCCGGCTGCTCCGAGAGGGATTAATGTCTTCTTCCCTGCACAGCCGGCTTTTTTTTCTCCTCGTTTGATTATTTTATTTTTGGCTCCGGCTTTTTTCCTTCTAACAGGGGGGGATTAAAATAATAACAGTCATCATAATAATCCCTTATTATTTCAAGGGGGGTGCAGAAGACGAAACAAAACCTGAGAAAATTAATTGGGAGGGGGGAGCACTAAAATGAGGCAAAGGAAAAAAAAATTAGAAAATCATCATCTGGGGGAAAAAAATAAGTGAGAAAAAAAAACATAAAACCTGGAGGGAATTATGATGGGGGGGAAAAAGTGAGGGAAAGACAAAATCTGAGATTATGATCTGGGGGTCATTTGGGGTGGTAAAAAAAAAAGTGAGGTCAAGAGAAAGCCTGAGGAGAAAATTATCATCACTTGGGGGGAAAATGTTAGGGAAAGTTGGAAAAAAAACAACCAAGACATAGGAGAAAATTATGATCTGGGGTCATTTGGGGGGAAAAAAGCGAGGGAAAGAGATAATCTGAAGAAAAAATTATGACCTGAGGGGGGTCATTGGGGGGGCCGTTTGATCATTGGGGGGAATGAAGGAGAGAATCTGAGGAGAAAAATTATTATGGGGGGGGGGGAGAAAACCTGAGAAGAAAATTTTGATCATTTGGGGGGGAAGAAATGCGGGAGGACGGGGAGAGCCCCGCGGGGTGCTACGGGCCGTGTGCGGGCTCCAGCGGCGGCGGCGCGGGGCGCCCTCCCCTCCGCCCCCTCCCCTGGCC